TCGAGCGGCCTGGGAAGCTAACGGACACTGAATGGGAAAGGACGAGAGAAGGTGGGTGGCGGCGGGACTTCTTCTGTTTGGTGTGTAAAGCAGCCAATTAGAAGACAGAAATAATGTCCTCGGCTGTAAGGGAGGTGGGCAAGCTGAGGGACGGAAATGTCTGGATTCTTAAAGGGACAGTAGCCTTTGGGCCTCGAACTTCCCGTCGTACCTCCCTGGTCCGGCACCCTCCGGGCAATCCACAGACTCTGCTTGACCACGGGAGATCAATACTGCCCCCTCTGCTTTTTCCAGCTGCGGGGCTCTGCTCCAGTGGCAGCAAACAAGCCAGCATTGACCCAACAAGGTTGGGAAGGGGGATGCTGGGGGAAGAGCCAAGGTAGCTACAAAGCCCTGAAGCCAAAGGCCAGGAGCACAGCCCCATAAGAGAACACTTATCCCAGTGCTTCCCTCCCCCCACCCTGCTGCACTCCCTACTCAGTCATGCTGGCCCCACTGCTGCCACTGGAGGGAATCCCCACAGCAGCAGAGGGACTAGCATTGACCAAATGGGGACGAGGGGTAAGGGGAGACATTCGGGGGAAGCGGCAGGGTGGATGTGGAGCTCCAGGAGCACAGCCCTTTAGGAGCTCACCAAGCCAAGGGAACACCCATGGAGATGCCAGACCATAGATATTGCCTAACTAAGAATGTCTAGACTATAGAGAGAGCTTGAACCACTCTTAGACTTGGCACCTTTAAATCCAAAATTATTATTAATCATTTTTGTGTAAAATATCAATTTTATTTTTAAGCTTTTTGTTTTTATCCATTTAAATTTTCACAGTTAGAGGAATTTGTGAGAGAAGTCATATGCTAATTATTTAATTACAGTAGAAATTGAGATTAAAAAAGCTAAAGCTTTATAACCTAACACACAAATTGTCAACATCAGCATTTCCCAAACTATGGGCCGTGGTTTACCGGGCCGCAGCGTGGCTGTCGGCAGGGGAGCAGAGTGGGGCGGGCTGGGAGGAAGTGGCAGCGGGCAGAAGGTAGAACCGACCACTGGGAAGAAGGGTTGGGGGCAGCAGGGCTGTCCCGCGAAGATCAGGGCAGGAGGGTGAGCAGCCAGTGGAAGCAGGGTTAGGGGTAACGGCTGTCCCGTGGAGATCTAGGTGGGTGGGCTGGGGGTGGCGGAAGCACTGTTGGAGGCAGTAGCGCTGTCCCGCGGAGATCCGGGCAGGTGAGCAGCAGAAGCAGGGTTGGAGGCAGCAGAGCTGTCCCGTGGAGATCCGGGCGGGTGGCCGGCAGAAGCAGGGTTGGAGGCAACGGGGCTGTCCCACGGAGATTGGGGGGAGGGGGCGGGCGGGCAGCAAAAGCAGGGTTGGGGGCAGCAGGACTGTCCTG